AAATTTATTACAAACGAGGAATATTATATGTTAAGAAGATTTACAGTAAAAGTATGAAAACTTCATCGTTGGTCGTTATGAATAATTAGAACGTTCGTGCGATTTTCTTACGAGGTTAAATTTCTTCTTTACGAGATTAAATTTATAAAAAGTGATACGAAAATTGCTGAAAGTATGAATGGTACACTCGAGGAGGTGACCTGGTGGATTTCATCTCGTAGATCGAAGATGTTAATCGGAAAATGTCAATTAATTGCATGTATAGTAAAATGTTTAATTTTAACAAGAATCATACTTCAATAAATTGTATTAAATAGTAAATATGGCGGGGGTTCCTTTAGAAACTTGCGTAAATATTTTATACTTTTTATTCAATTACAGATTAAGCATAAAATTTTATCCTAACATTTTAGTATTATAATAAATTTGTTATAACTCATACAATCTTCGATTATTTGCCCATTATTCATTGCGAAATATTTATGTCGAAGAATTATGTCTAAGAATATGCACCGGATAAAAGTATTTTTTGCATTTCATATGTAAACTATATCAAATCCTGCAGCTATGTAACACGACGAACTTCATTTTTAGCAAACATACCTTTAATCCGTCCAACATCTTGACCCAAAAACTCGCTTCCGTCTCCCCATCCGCAACCTTGCTCACTAAATCCCCCTTTAACAACATTCCTATCCCGTCTCTCCTTTCCATCCCAAAAAAGAATTACCATAATCAAAGAATCCTACCATCTATACCCTACATCTTGAAAATTCTTTCTCACATAAACATCCTGCCCGAATCTCATCGACATTGATCATCAATCAACGAATAAGAATCATCAAACGTGGCACCTTCGAATCCCATCCATGGTTCCTTATCGTACTAAAGGTCTCCCCATGTTTCTTTCTTTAGACGTCTTTCTACCCCTCTTTCTGCACCTTTCTACTGCCCCTGTGTTCGTTTAGCTCGCGATGAATTACTGTACAACAATAGATAGAGCGGACGCTGTCGCGTTGCACACATATACAGGGTGTCCGAGAATCACAAGTGAGCAAAGGATAATTCTTCATGGAAAAAATAAGTGGAAAATGTAAAATAATGTTTTCGTTTGTTAGGCTTCGTCTTCGAGCAAAACAATTTTCAATTTCCGTCGAGTACACATGTATTAATTCTTTTCAACTTGACAAATTTTGTTTCTGCTCGTGTTTATATTATATTGCTATAATACTTTCAGTTGATCAGTGCTATAAGTCTCTTCTATCGTATTCGACTCGAACGATTTCGGAAATAAGGTAGGGCTATGTATTATGTTTAAAGATCAATTTTATCGACTTAGAAAGTGTCCTAAACACATCGATGATAATATTTATACATACAGTCCTTGTAAAGGTACAGGTAGTAACCTGTATCATTTAATTCTTTTACTCTCATAATTCATAATTCTTCTTAATACTCCCATTATTATCAGTAAATATACATATAATAATACATTACTGGTTTAATAAAACCAACGTAGACAGAATTGCGTAGAAACGTAGAACGTAAAAACGTAGAACGTAACAACGTAGAAAGTTAAAACTTAATGTCACAATCGACACACGTGTACCGAGCAGATTATCGAAATCGCTTTTCTCCAAAACGAAGCACCATACGTAAAAATTCTATCCAACATTTTCGACCTATTTTTTTTTTTCATCATAAATTACCTCTTGCTATACCTTCTTCGATTACTATACGCCCTGTACATATACGCGAGCATACACACGCGCTTGTAAACTTGTCTGCCGAGGAAGGAGGGCGGGTTGCGTAATTTAAATAATTCAGAAATGACCCTGACCCCAGTTAGGCCGCGGGCTGACCTGCAGAGCCGGCGATTACAATCACAATGCGGCGTCGAGTTCTCAGGGTAAGACAGGTAGCACGGCGTGCCCGCATACATTAGATCGAGCGAGGCATCTACCGTGCGTGCACACGCGGACAGACTCGCGTCCGTGTCTCTGCACGCGTGATTTTATGCACGAGAAGCGCTAACAGCATGAACGGGTGAGTCCGCGTTGTTGGCCCATAAAAGAGGGTCCAACTCTTTTTCCAAAGCCAGCTCCAGAAGCTGGCACACATTTAACCGGACCGGGCGAATTAGCATAACGACGTCGTACGATATTTCGTTGCGGGTTTGCCACTGAAAATCCCACGGTGAGGACGGATATCTTTTTCCTTGGCTACGATCGAGACGATCCGAACGAATGCTCGTTGGAGGAACGGTCGCATGGAAATTCGTGAGAAGTCGTGGATCGGACGGATCGACGTTTGCGGATCGGCGCACAAAGTGGGTCGCGGTACGCTCCAAGGGATCGCATGGAAATTCGTGAGAAGTACCCGGGTACAGAGGAGAGTTGAAGGATTGTCGGATGAATGGACGAGTCACGGTTTCGCTGATTTACTTCGTGAATTATTAATTGGAAGATCGTGCATTGTGACATGGATCCGTAACGATCGCTATGAACGTTCCGTGCTACGGTTTGGTATCGTTTGAAGATCTTGAAACGGTTTAACGGAAGAAAAATTCTATGCTTGATTGTCGAGATGTATCTTTTGTGCAGATGAAAAAGGTTCAACTGCGACTGCACCATATTTCCAGGAGATAATTATTCTAAGATATCAAGAGAAATTTGTCGAACAGGAAGTATCGATTTGATGATGTAAATGAAAGAAGTTTATAGAAGATGAATCAAGTTTTTCTGAAGCGATTTTCTTAAAATGTTAAGATATAGCGTCTTGCAAACAAAAAGCATCGATTTGATGAGGTTGACGAAGAAAACTCGTAAAAGATAGATGAAATTTTCTTAAGATGAGCGTGTTTCGTATAAAGAATGATTACTAATTCGTTAGAATCTTTGTGATCACTCTTTCACAAGTTTCCAAGTATTTTAAATGACCATCATCGATCAAACAATTTTAATAGAAACTCTTATTACCCGACATATCGAAACCATCTAAAATCATCTTCGATACAGATCCGTAGAAAATCACAAGAATTAATACCGTAAAGAACAACTTTAAACTCAGTGTAGACATACAACCAACGAATCATTTCCTCTTATCCAAGAACAAGAGCAGTTGAAAATAACACTTGTTGAAAATGAATCAACCCTAGATTACCTACAGTACATTATACATAAAAAGTTTAATTACTTTAATACATTTGAATATCATAATTATTAAATAAAAAAAAGAGAAGAATAATATCAATATATTCTTCTATGATATTTAGAAAGTTTTTTAACATGGGTAGCAACCAAAAGATCCTATCAAAACCTATCATCCGGCCGATACATATATCGAAACCATCAGAAATCCTCTCCGATACAGACCCCTAAATCGCAAGAACCAACAGCGCAGAGAGCGACTTTAAACCGATTTTAGACGTATAACCACGAAATCACCACCCACCCCATTTCCTTTTCTCTAAGAACAATGGCGATTTGGTACCTCCGGTACAGCGTAGCGTATACCGTTTCACGTGATCGATGGCAATCGAACATCGAGAGGATGGATCCGCGAGGATAGAAATTTGCATCCACGATGCTGGAAACCAAACACTCGAAGGGTTGAAGGCTGGCATGCAGATGAGCCGACGTAGCCGCCCTCGAAAGCGGATGTTGGCAGTCTGCAGCTAGGTAGACAATGGGCCAGTGCCATTATGTCCGTCGAATCCTAAAACCCCATAGAGTCGTTCTTCTCTGTCTATTATCCCGCTGGTGGCAGGCCACATTGTGTATCCGGTCTGCTACGGGACCCCGGCTATTGTCGGCCCACCTAATTATTCGCAAATCTTCCGCTCGTTGCCAGTACATATCCCGCCACCCTCTCTGTCTCTCTTTCTCTCTCTCCTTCTACTAGTTTAGTCTCTCTTCTATGAGCTGGCTCTCAGCATCGCGAAATTCCGTCTTTGGCCCAGGGGCTCGTTGTTCACCGTGTAATTCAGCTCTAGTTCGAACTGGCTTGGCTTACGAGCGATCATCTAGGAGAGTGGGAAAGAGAGAGAGAGAGGGAGAGAGAGAAAGAGAGAGGGATTTCGCGTCTTGCCTCTCGACGTAGCCGCAATTAAATCGTGGGACCCCCCATTCTTCGAATCCGGTTCCGACCGATCTGATACGAGATGGCAGCGTTTAACGCGCCGATCGCGTTTCAGACCCTGTTCCTTTATACTTTTTCGTCTTTTTTTGTTCAGTTTAGGTGAGTTGTGAAGTCAATTTGCTGTTGGACCAGTGTTACGGTTGCACGGTACAATTTATGCAAGTATGCGTGTAGACCTGTATCTTGTGTTTTGCAAGCTATTTGCGCGTTTATAAAATTAATTGATCCGAGGAAGTGATAAGAGAGGTATGTTAATCATTAGATCGAATGATGTAGGTCCGATATTTTAAGTGCACGGATTTTTTATGGAATCGTACGATACTTTTGTATGCGATCGTTTTGTGAAATTATCAAGACATACGTGTATGTAATATAAAGCTATAGACATGCAGCCGTGCTCGTAAGTATTAGGACTGGTTAATCTGATATTAAAAATAGCATAGCTAGTTAATCTCATACGGAACGTGATAATTCATCCAGATTATTAACTAAACGAAAAACAGTTTGAATTATGTATTCATTTATAAAATGTACGAGACCAAGGAATGAGAAACACAATGAGGCGTTTAATAATGAAAATATTAAAATTTATCAGCGACGGAATAAAAATTATATAAATATTTTTGTAATTATAGTGATTATAACGAGAAGAAATTTAATTCTAAAGTATATACCCGATAGGGTTGTTTTATATATTTTATGATTCCAAACGAAATAACGTTGAAGATTTTAATAAATCAATTTTTTCTAAGTCTTCTAATTACTTACGAACGATGGTACGTATGTAGATAAAAATATTGCACTTTTTTAACAAAGCAAGTGTAAGTAATATGATTTGCCATGCATCTCTGTGTACTCACCTCAGGATCTGTTGAGTTAGGCCGATTGAAAGCGTAGAGGGGTGCGAGTTTCTCGTAGAGATTTATACGATCATGTAGAGATTTGAAAGGATTTTTAGTGCTGAAGAAGTCCAGATCGATGTCTAAAATATATGGTGTATTCCGCTCGGGAAGATATTGACGCAAAGCAGAACTAATTGCGGTAAAATCATCTTTCTGAAACACAAAAGTTTCGATTTCGTTAAAATTATATTGACATTTCTACTATCCTGACTTTTATAGAATAGAAAAAATGTTAAAAAAGATTCTCGTCTTCAAAACGATATTTAAAACTACCTACAAGAGGATCAAAATATTTGCCGAGGAAAAGATCTCTATTATTTCTATTATGTCCAAGATTTTTATCCGTGCTCTTATATTTAAAATATTTCTTTAAAAATAAAATACATCTCATCGTTCCGTCTCCAACATTTTATAGCACTTAATGAAATCACTTTATATAATGAGATATGAAGCATTTTATAGAATCGTTTTATAAAAGCAACAACAAATTACACAAATATTTTGTTACATTCATTTTATTCATAAGAAATATTTTATTACACATAATAAAAATATTATATCATCACATTGTACCAAATATATTATACTTAATTTTTTCTATATTTTATAAAAACATTCAATTACAACCATTTAATTCATAAAAAATATTTGCACACAATCTAACAAATCCACCATTTCATTTTTTCTTATTCTCCAAAAAAAGAAAATACGAAAGAAAAAGTACTATAAATCGAGAAACATTCGAATCGATCACAAACGATCCTACCACTATCCATCACACGCTCAAGCCTTATTTTGCAACTCATTGATCGCAATTTCGAAAGCCGGCATTTCTTTCCCGCAGGGGAGGTAGAGACTCTAGGCCGGACCAGACGGGTTGGATATTGTTCGAAACGAGGCTAAACGCTGGCCATCGTTGCAAAAAGAGGGGTGGGCTTTTTGTGACGCGCAAAAAACAATGACTGCACTCGAATTAATCCTGTTAGAATTGATACTCGTCCCGGCACCGGGATCGCAATTTGCATGCGTTCACAACAATGAAACGCGAGCGGCGCTCGCTGCCATGCTCCGCGGAGGGGTTGCGAATGTCGATCGAGGGGGTGGAGGTTTCGAAAGCAAAGCCAACAGCGATCACTATGGTCAGCGGCTCTCAAACGTTTAATACGGGACCTTCGATAGGCCGGCTGTCGTGTTTTTCCTACTGCTGTCTCGAGTGATCGCGTAATGAAATTTAATTACCGTCCCCGTTTTTTTCTTTCCTTCTTTTTTTTCGTTTCGATCCTCGCGCCAAACCTGTGGATGAAACTGATCAGAACCGATGCAATGCAATTTTATCAAGCGTGACCGGGGCGACGCTATTTAAAAAGAATTTAGAGCATCGACTTGTTTTTTCTAATATTATTTTGATTAAACATCGAGTTGTTTTGAAGTATTCCTGACGATTTATCGAATATTTTATAAGCGTACAAATATGTGTACATACTTGGATGATATAAGTTGTTCTTAAAACTTGGTATAGTTTTTTGTTTTTATGAGAACTGCATGTTAATTGTATGTTTACAAATTTAATTTTTCTTTTAGCTGTTTTATTTATGTATTATAAGTTAATGTACGAACTGTTCGGAAGTCACATTGGCCAGCCGTATAAATTAAAAGTAGAGGATAGCGATGATGTTATGAAAATTATTTCATTAACTTTAAAATTTATTATTATTTATGCCACTTCCTTATGATGAATAAATTTATGGAAATAAGTCGTCTTTTTCTTGAAAACTGTACATTAATTATGTTCTTGTGCAACGAAATCTAGAAATATACAAAGAGTAGAGATTAATTTCGTTTCTCGCAAGTTCATATACATATAAACATATAAAAATCAAAGTGCCCTCCTACACCAATATTAATCGTTCGATCTTTGAAGGATTAAACGCTAATTATATACTGTGATACTAAAAATAAACACTTGTCAGAAAACGTAATTGATCAGTTTAATTTCCGAGTGGTTTACATATTAACCACTTCGATCAGTTGATCACGTCTCGCTTGAAATTTTACAACGTGAAATAATAAATATTTTAGCTACATGTTAAGTGAAATTAAAAATTTAATCCACTTTTACGAAACAGAATATACTACTTTCCGATTCAGGCAATATTTTACTTCTTCACATATTCATAGACATTTATATTCAAATTTATTATATATTCACTGTTTGTAATTTCAGATTGAAATAATAATTAACAATATGGAATATAAAACAATTTAACGTTAAGTTGCTACCACATATCAAAATATCAGATAATATTTTATTGCAATTGTACTTATTGATCTACGAATTTTATTATCTAATACAAACGCAGCATACCGTAATTAAGACCCTAAAGAGAAATTAATACCGAATACGTTCAAACGCAAGTTTACGCGATTACTATCGCCACTAATAAACAAATTAATATGTCGTTCCCAACAGTGTAAAACGCTCGAGTACACGAAAACTACCCGCTAATTTAACGAATTCCATTTATTCTTTCGAAAATATTCTACGACATACCGTTGACAAAAGATTGGAGAAAACAACCCTTACAAATCAAACCTTTCAAAAACCCACTCCAAACCAACAAAGAGTCACTCTATTCTCTGGCAAATTTTTTTCCAAAAGTTCCTGCTAAAAAAGAGCCAAGTGTTCCCTGCAAAAATCCGAAAAGCATGCACAGCGAAACCGCATTGGGCAAACATTAGAAGCACGCTGCAGAATGGTCGGTCCTCCGTATGCGCATTTATTTGCATTCGCCTAACATCAGCTTTTTGGTTGCCCTTCGCTCCTTCTCCTTGCAACAGAGAGCAAGTTGGAAAGAGAAAGGATAAGACGAAGAAGAAGAAAGAGGAACGTCCGAACTATTTTAGCAGAAGAGAGACCGATTGAAAAAAGGTGTGTTCGTTTCTTCTTTCTTTCTCTCTTCCTCTTCTATTTTTTCCTTTTTTTTTTGCTCTGCTTGTCCTCGTGACAAAGCACCGTTCTTTTACGCTGAACTACCAAAGCTCTTTCTGACTGAAACCCGTTTCCCGTTTATGCGAACCGAACCGGCCAGGGTGTTCCTGACTGGGATCGAGGAAGGACAAAGGACTCTTACGGAATCCCCGTTGCGCTTAAACCAACAGCTCTGGCACAACACGGGTAGACATTTCTGTGACGTTCGCACAGGAAAGAGAGAGACCAGTGCACGATGTTTAAATATTCTTGTTATATCGGTTTCCTTGCTTCCTCCGTTTTCGACATACGAGAAACCTGTTAAGTTTGATTTTTATTTTAGTTTGGTTTGGTCTTTGAATTTCAGTCGTTTTATATTCATGTTTGTTCTAGGTTTTACATTTGGTCGTTTATTGTAGATACAGTAAAATCTTGATTATTACGACGGTCTTGTAAATTCGAACTGATATTATTAATGAAATTTTATAAGTCATACGTAAGTTACAAGTCATAAGCATTGATAAATACACTTGAATGTTAACAAGTCTGGCAATAAAACAGATTAAATTTTACAAATTATAAATTTTCTGATTATACAATTTGATGAAAAATCATGCAATGATAAAGGTGATTTACCAATAGCATTAGCTGGTAAATTATTATGTGACAGGGAATAAAATATCGATTAACATAATCATTAACTGGTTGAAGGAAAACTTGGAAATGGTACATACATTATGAGAAACATTGGAAACAAGAGTAGAACCATAAAAAGATATATTTTGTTGCTATTTAATATTAATATTTATAATATGACTTTAAACAAATGATTTTCTCTTCTATGCAAGTAAACTTCTGTAGTTTACGAAATTCGAAATTGAAAGTTTTTACGTTTGGAAAAAAGAAAAAGAAATGGTCGATGTGTTTTGTATTTCAAGGCCCCGTATCGTGCACCTCATCTCAATATCTATCGCGTTGAATTTTGAGTAGCGAAGATGACACAGTGACATTTATATCGATTATTCTACGATGTCTCTACCATTCTACGATCTTATATTTTAAAAGTACAACCTACACAACCTAAACTAAAACGTACAGCACCTATTCTAAAAATACAACTTACAAATAAACATCAACCTAACTCACCAAAATTTAAGCCAAACCTAAAAATCGGATCCGCGGTCAAAAACAAAGATCCCTCGATCAACATCGTCAACCCGTGTCATAAAACACCCACGTAGCGTAAAAACCGCGTGAAATCATCTTCCACGAGAAGAGAAACGCAAAACACGGCAGGAAAAAAAAACGAAAGGAATAGAACGACAGGGAAAAAAGATCGGGCAAACAATCGTGGAACGCGAGCGTAACGCGAGCAGAGGCGTCGAGACGAGTCATTCGGGGAATTAGGCAAAAGAGCCGCGGCCTCGCGAGTGCTCGTGAAAG